TAATAATAACACGATGTATTAATAACATTAACTACACTTCTAGCGCTAGTGAAGTTTCATCTCATCTCTCGATAAAAAATTTCAATTAGAATTATTTCTAGATACTAACATTTGTGCGAATTAAGAAATAAAGAAATTTATTGAACAAAACATATTTAGAATATTAAACACTAACTAAATTACATGTTCATTATTATTATTAATGTGTATAATGTTCGCGTAAAATCAATAAATTTAATGTTGCCTAACAAACCTAGCCAACGTGGCATGGTGCCAACAGAGCGGCAGCTGTATTTCCCCACTGAATAATTATTCTTAACCTTTGAGCGAGAAAAGACCAAGTCTTCTTTCCACCAGCCGCGGAGGTAAAGTCTATCTAGGGCGTAAATATTTCAAGAATTGTTGAGAAATTATGTAACCGTCCACCAATATCGAAAGAATTAAACTTTTACGCTAGGAGTCCATATCACTACATAGAACCTAAATAGACCTTTAAAACTACGCAACGGATTTTGATGTGTTTGTTTAACTAGATCAAGATATTCAGGAGGAAGGTCTATATGTATAATATAGTAGTAGTTTATATGTATAATACATGCATAATATAGTAGACAAACATAGAAGAGTATATTAAGTATCAGCATAGCACCTATGCGAAGCCGGGGCGGGTCGCTAGTTCTTACTTATTAATATTATAAATAATATTATAAAGGCGAAATTTTATATGTATGAATGGATGTTTGTTACTCTTTCACGCAAATACTACTGAATAGATTTTAACGAAACTTTACACATTAATAAAGCTTCTACATCAGAATAAGATATAGGCTATAATTTATATACATATTTAATGTATATCAGTCTTTCTGTCTGATTATTACGCCTTCAGCCTATTGTACGCAGACGTAGTCGCGGGCAGCAGCTAGTAATATTATAAAGGCGAAAGTTTGTATGTATGAATGGATGTTTGTTACTCTTTCACGCAAATACTAATGAATGGATTTAATGAAACTTTACAATAATATAGTTTGTACATCAGAATAACACATAGGGTATAATTAATTTACATATATTTAGGTATATCTATCTTTCTGTCTGAATGTTACGCCTTTACACTATTCTACGCAGACGTAGTCGCGGGCGGCTGCTAGTATAATATAAGTGCAGAAGTCACAGAGCAGCCACACACACACACACACACACGACGTCTATCGTACAATGTTCGATGAACGTGCAGCCGTGAAAGTGCCGAACGCGAGCCGACTCATATTGTTTGAGAGTTGAAGTGATCATTAAAAATTTACGAGTCGCTCTCGAGCGCGCTGTGGGAAAGCTCGCGGCCGAGGAGTGCCTGATTCGGCACATTTCTCGAGATCGAACGTAATAACATCGATTCCCAGGCGATGACTGACCCGAGACGCGTTCACGTCATAACACTCTGTTAGAGCACGCCACATAAGACTTATATATATTTTTTATATAAGAAAGTGGCAAACGAGCCGGCGGTTCACCCGATGTTAAGTGATGACCGCCTGCCCATGGACATTTGCAACACCCTTAGGGTTGCAATTGCCACCTGCGTTGCCACCTCTTACCCGTGGCCCCGGCTACCTCACTCACCAGACGAAATGCAGGAGTGCAACACTTCTACTTCACTTCTTCTGTGAGGGTCGTGGTACTAACCCGTATGGAGCTGCCCATTCGTGCAACAGCGAACACTGTTGCGTGGCCCTGCCACCGTACCAACGTATAAACGCATATATCTATAAAGCACATTGGGACAATACCACGTGTAATTAAGAGATGAGAGCAGCATTATATATCTTTTCAATCGTTAGCGTCACGCAGTGGTGTTGCACGAATAGACAAGCGCGTTCGGGAAATTACCACGGGATCACAGAAGCGAAAGACTATATATACTTCCGCGTTTCGTCCGGTGAGTGAGGTAACTGAAGCCTTTTTTTAAAGGTTGGTAATACTCAACGCCTCAGATGTAGTGTCCATCGGGCGGATCACTTAAGGCGTACCGCCTGCTCCTTCGCTAAGTTTATACATAAAGAAAAGCTCTTGGAGTCTCGCCCATTCAGATTAGGTTCTTTCTGTACCAGCGAAATTATTTATTGCAGCTTTATGTCTACTTTCCACTATGTATTCAGAGATTGTAGTATAAAACTAAATATCTTGATAACGTATAACAGACATTCGTGGATGCGTAAAGTCCAAAAATTTCCAGTGGAATTTGGAAACCGCACACCCGTACTTTTCTACAAAAATATTTTTGTTGTTAATTAGGTTATTAATTATTTAAATTTATTGAAAATTGTTTTCTACTTTCTAGTTCGGCTATCTACAACAGCCAGTTGTCTTTTAAAACTATTAGTGGTAGATATTGAGTCGCACTACAACAGTTGCACGGCTCACACACACAGCGACAAGCTCGAGGCGCCAAAATTTTGAGTAAACCGAAACATGGGGACAACACGAAAGCGCCGGGCCACTAAAATTCTCGCTTGCATTATTATAGCTATTGTGGTATCGCTGGGCAACAGCTGTTTAACGAATGGACAGAACCACCGGTACGAGGCCCTCATAGGAGACTTGTCAAGCGCAGACTTCTAAGTCTAACATTCAACCCTGGCTTTGGCAACAGAACAAGACTGTTATGCCAACATATATACAACCAAGCTTCAGTTCAGCTTCAGCAAAGTTCCAGCTTATGGCACGCAGCATGTTAATTTGATGTGGGATTCTTGTTTTTAGACATTAAACGCATATCATGAATGCAGTCTTTGTGTTTGTAGTTACGTAGCTGAAGGAATTTATTATAAGTTTGAATGTACGTAGCTTATGAGCTGGATAATCTAAAGATATTACTATGCCATGAAAATACACAATTTTCTCTCGAAAATTACCTGTTAGGAGATGCCGTGGATCAAGTTTAGATGGACATACATTACCCGGACGCGCGACGTCTGACGTTTAATCGTCTTGCTCCAGTCATTACAGCAGGCCACCCGCGGACATAAAGTACTTGACTGTGCCCCAACTACCTATACCCCTGTGTTACGTAAACGGCCATAAATTTACCTTAAAATTGAAAAGGCAGCCAAGTGAATGTCGAATATAACGAAGTATCCGCTTACCACGCGCGCAGAACGAAAGCACATCCACCTCAATTTGTGACCACTTCCCCATTTGCGAATAATTACGTCACTCTTCGACCATTTTTAGGGTTCCGTACACAGAGGGTAAAACGGGATCTGTTGCTAACACTCCGCTGTCTGTCTGTCCATCTGTCCGTCTGTCAGCAGGCTGTATCTCATGAACCGTGATAGTTAGACAGTTTTGAAATTTTCACAGATGATGTATTTCTGTTGCCGCTATAACAACAAATACTAACAACAGAATAAAAAAATATTCAAGTGGGGCTCCCATACAACAGACACGATTTTATTGCCCTTTATATAAACAATGATACGGAACCCTTCGTGCGCGAGTCCAACTTGCACTTGGCCGGTTTTTATATGCCATAATGCACAACACCGTCCAGACACTCAGCCACTAAGCGATTGTGTATAGACAGTGAGGACATCAACCGCATAGCTTAGTGGCTAATATTTTTCGACAATGTATTACACGTTTCAAGTTTGTTTGTAATAAATTGTCGAAAAAATTAGCCACTAAGCTAGCTAAGTCGATTTTACATATACAGTGCAGAGGTAAGCACTAAAAAATAAAAAGTAAAAATTGTTGAAACACCTATAAGCACTTGTCCTAAACATGGTCGTATGTTGAAGTAAGCCACCAGATATCTTAAGTTGAAGACACAACTTAAGATATCTGGTGGCTTATTTCAATTAAATCTTATTAAATCCTTAGCCTTATTAAATCACCGTGATTAAAGCAGCAGTCGTAGATGTATATCTCCATGAAACATTTCTCAAAGGTATTTCTGTCGCTACGCCATAACTTCCTAATTATTCATAACAGTCAATGGAAACATTTAAAAAGATTATATTTGGCGCTATTGAAAAAAAATAGATAAGTAGAATAAAGTCGATGTTTTCATAAAAAAAAAATACGTTTGTTTAAAAATTTCTTATGACGAATTTATGATATCTCATGACAATTTGTTTACATGAAAGATAGAGAAATAGACTGAAAAACTTTATTCTTCAAAATATAATATAATATTACCATTGGATGACAGATTATGGTCCTGTGCGAACTTTTTCATGGGTCAACTATACCTATCTTTATACATATAATTCTTCTGTATGTGTGTCATGTCAATGAACTGCCCCTAAACGGCTCGACCCATTTTAATGAATTTTTTTGTATGGCTTTGTGGTATATTGTTTGTAGTTTAGTATGTCATATGTTTAGCTTTAGATATAGGGTAGACTCGAAAAACTATTGTAAGACGATTTCGGGCGGTGGCAGTCTCGCAATAAACGTGGAACAAATAAGAGTGTCTTATTTCACAGTGGCGACGAGGAATTTTATCATAATAAAATATGGCAAACATGGGTAGAATCGGAAAGTTCGATGTTTCAAATGGCAATTGGAGTTCATATTGTGAAAGGTTGGAAATGTATTTTTTGGTTAACGGCGTCAAGGAAGAATTAAAGTTACCTACGTTGATATCTGTGGTTGGCGAAAGTGGATATGAACTGATGACTAACCTGTGCAGCCCAATTAAACCCGCTAAAATGAAATACGACGATGTTGTAAGAATAATGAGCGATTATTTGCAACCAAAAGCGTCAATTCTAGCAGAGCGCTATAAGTTTCGCCAACGTAGGCATAGTGAAAACGAAACAGTATCTCAGTTTGTAACGGATTTAAAACTTTTGGCAAAATCGTGCGAATTCAAAAACACTTTGGAAGAAAATATGAGAGATCAATTTGTGTGCGGTCTACGCAGTGATATGATGCGTCTACGACTTTTTGCTGAGGATTCTTTAACTTGGACAGGCGCAGTGAAATTAGCTACGTCAATGGAAGCAGCCCGGCGTGACTCATCAGTGGGAGATGGCACGGGCCGCGGCGCGAGCACCTCTGGTATCGCCATTGCGAACGAAAATTTAACGAGGGTAGTAAAACAGGAGCGACAAAGGATGAGCACGGCAGACTATCAAGTGACCGAAGTGAATAGGGTGCAAATAAGTTCCTGTACAACGTGTGGCAGTTCCCGCCATATTTGGCGTCAATGTCCGTATCGTAACTACAAATGTGATATTTGTGGCAAAATTGGACATTTAAAACGGGTGTGCTCGCTCGGTGAGAGACATCAAAATAAAAGTAACAACAGGCGCGTGTGGACCTCGAGTACGGGATCAACTGCCATTCGCGGTTCAGCGCACGGCAGAGGCACTGGCTCCGGCGTGCGGCACTGGCAAGGCTCCGTGCATCATGAGCGCGTCCACCACGTAGCTGAGGGGGAGGAGGACCCCTCCGC